GTCTGAGCGTTTTGTACCGAGTGGGAAAAAAAGACTTTTAAACAACGGAGTGGCTATATATATAGCTATTTACACTCGGGCTAGATAACGAAAAAACGGTGTGCCGGGTAGCGGATTCCGGAAAGTTTTTATGCGGCTTGAGTAATAGTGAGTTGACGGTTGTGTGTATCCGGATAGGGCTAACAACGAGAAAATAAGCTTTGCACAATACTAATTAGTTATCAATATTACGCGAATGGATAAGTTACCAATTTTAACAAAGTGTACAGGTATATGCACTTTATTAAACGTGTTTAGCTCATTATTACAGATAATGATTCGTACGTGGTTGTTGTACGGAAAGGCCGAGTGCGAGGACTGCCGGTGTACGTCCACATTGTATATTGTATTGCGTAGTTGTCATGATATGATTTAAAGCTAATGTGAAAAACAATTATCTGTATAAATGAGACATTTCAGTATTTGTTTCGATAAAGTTTGAGCGATAATGCAAAGTAACCAACACATAGGATTTGACGAGCAGACGTCCGTATAAAATGTGGACTTTCTCCAAAAGTTAGAATGTCCCATAAGTCTCATGTAGTTATTTTTCACTATTAAAGTTGTTCTTCATTCGACACAGTAAGAGTTTTGAAGATATTTCGTTTGTTATCTTTTTATTAATATTGTATATAATATGACTCAGGCATGGCCTGGAGAGTGTGAAGCTTGTACTTTACATTTGTTTTAATGCATTTGATTTTTGAATCATAACATTATGCATTTTAATAATTGGTTTTATATTTAATATTCTTGAATCTGGTGCATCCACAACCACACTAATATGGCGCATTCTATGTTGGGTGATGTTGACACGGGTTTGTACTTTAGTACTACTAGACCATATTGATAGTAATAATATCCTCATGTGGTTCTACCCCTGGCTGTTCATAATGATATGTGTTATTGTTTCTATCCAAAAGTTTAAAAGAAACAAATGTCATTAAAAAATTCATAGAGTTAACAGAATAATGTGCGTTGTAGGCAGAATGTATAGATATATAAATAAATGGTTTGAGCTAATATGCAAATCTATGAAGGATGTATTTATATTTATGTATAAACATATAGATATTCGGAACAACAACACGTTAAACATGTTAGACAGGTTAGAGACTGTCTCGGATCGTCTCCCACAACTATAAGTATAAAATGAAGATTTTAGATTTTATTTTTAATAATTAGATAATCCATGTGAAATGATGACATTTAGTGTTTGAACTGATTATATATGTTAGAAGGTATCTACAGCAGGACATTCCTCCTCTTCATCATCGCTGTTGACATGACGTTTTTGTAGATACCTAGAGATAGATTGGCATATCAGCTAAAACCATTTGTTTGCAAGTCAACTTTCTAGATGGCCACCATCGTATAACTTTGTGTAATCATACTTTGTGGGTTTTTTTTGTTGCTATTTTGACCATGTTTTCCTCGATGTTTGATTGATACCCTTATTATGTCACTGTCAAATTTAGGTGCCGAAAGATTGTGCACTGTGTAGTGTTTAGTGATGATTGTGTTGATGGAATTGATGACAGTTTCATGACTGACTTGTTCTTGAGTCACTATTGATGGTAAATGTGGTTGAATAAAAACAGTTGCCATTCACCAGGTATTACATCATACGCGGAGAAGTTGTTATTTTGATTAGAAATGGTTGCTGACGGACGCATAGGCTTAGTATGCACTGTGTTAAACAAAACTAAAAGTGGTGAACATATAATATTTCTAATTCTCTTCCTTACTGATATTCGTAAAGGGGCTGGTCGGGGAAAAAATGTCATATTTGCTAAAATGGCATATACATGTTTAAAATACCTTCTTATGAAACATACCGATTTAAATTTTGCTGAAATTCACTCCCTAATAGTTAACAGTTAAAGTATGGGTATGAGGGATATAGCAATTTTATGATCCCCCGAGGCCAGGACTATTTTCCGAGGCGAAGCAGAGGGAAATAGTCCTGGACGAGGGGGATCATAAACTTGCTATATCCCAATACCCATACTTCAACTGTTTTATTATACCGATACAAACACTCCCTTACGATATTCTAGATATTATTAGACAACAAATTTTCAACAGTTGGGACAGTCTGTCAACAACAATACAAGGTGAAGGTCGGCCCAGAAAGTACCGGCGCGGCTGGCCGGAAATTGCCGACGTAATTCGATTGCGCTGATTGGTCAATATTCGGTCAGGCCCCGCCCACGACGTCATTCAATTTCCCGCATTTTTTCTGAGGGAAATAGTTTCAAAACTATCGTACCCCTCCAGACGAACTATTTCCCTGACATGCAGTTAGAGAGGAAAATAGCTTGTTTATGTGGTTACGTTTGTATAGTGTAAAATAAGTAGAGGTATAATAACAAAAAAAATATAGTTATATTAAAGAAATCCTAAATCGTCACCTGACTGTCTAAAACTCTCAATTGACCCAGATCAGTGATGTAATTTTACCGCATGCGCGTCATCAACAAGGCCAAATGTAAACATCGCGGCGAAAGAAAAAGAAGCATGCAAAAGTCATGACAGGCACGAGGTATCAATACCGTTATATATAACAACAACATATAGGTAGGAATACTACACTTGCACCATACATGACCTTTGGAAACGTATAGTATTGCTGTCTTGTCCGCTAGTTGAGTCCGACATGACTTCTTCACTGCCTCACTTTCGAAACAACCACGTGACATATATAAATAGATCTGCGCTAAATTTACGCGGGGCTTCCCCGAGATTTCAGTGGTCAAAACTGGACATTGCCAGCAGAACTCGACCATCATATTGCCGTGGTATAACTTTTGGAAGGCCAGAGAACGCATTTAGTCCCATTTATTTTGTATTTTTTTCCCCCGACCAGTCACTTTAAAGCAGAGCAAACTAATGCTTTTACTTTAATGTCTAATCAAAATGCTGTAATGATTTACACAGTTGAATGGAGGAACAAATAGTCAAGCTATCAATAAAGATATTTCACTGTACAAAACAGCTGATTTTTTACATTAGATGAGACTAAATTCAATCTATTATCCATATGGATCTAGCATTGAAATTCCACACTTTTAATTTTAAACACTTAGTCTGAAGGTAATATCACAAATTTGGATCAAATATCAACAGAAACAACCCCCAGATAAAGTTGACGTTCTACAAAAAATGTAGGAAAAAAAGATAAATATTATGTTTGTGCCAAGGAATAATTTAGTGTAAATAAGAGTAGTGATACTGAAAAATCCGCAATTTGACCCTTTGTAACACCTAACGTTTCCCTTGGAAAGCTGTTGGAGATCATTGTGTTGCATGATGTATCTGTGTATAACTGGAGCAGACGACCCGGGAAATTTGACCTCGTCAATTATCTGACCTTTTATTATCCAATGAGAATCAAGCGACCACGTCATTGTCACTGCTTCGTACATGCTTGAGTATTTCGTCCTAGTGGGAATTACCCCCATGTGTTACGATCGATTATCAATATTTAGATGGAAAATTTGTAATGTGTAGAAAGTTATCAGTATCAATTCATTTATTTATTTCCGAAATTTAAGCTCATTTAATCGACGGAAATACAATTTGTCATCTAATCACATTCTTACGCACGCTTCGACGCCATTTGCCTGTGACATTCATGTCAGCTCTATTATTCAATAAGACATATTTACCGGCTCCAAGAACTGGAAGAGGTCACCGGAAGTACGAAATGTGTCTAGGCTGCGCTCTTATAATGTTTAATTAGTATGTAACACCACGACATGTTTTTAAACAACAACGGATTGTCGCCTCTACACACTGTGAACGATCATGGATTGCTACCGATGTGACCGGCATCTTAAATTGGATATCGTTAAATAGGAGATAATCTTCCAGCTATTATGCAACAAAGCAAAAATCACGATGACTTGTAAAATCTGTTCCAAACGTCATATTACCTCATTCATTGAGGGCATCTAATATGCATGTAGAAGGTTTTTACAACTGTAAACCATAATCTTGATATAAGTGTTAGCTGGCATGTACGCTATGACAAGAGTTGTATCCGTAGTGTATACAAAATTTTAATGAGTATACTCTTGTTCTAATCCCAACGCCTTCTGGTATGTACGCTCTTAGTGCTAAGTGCCTCAAGGACCGTCCGTCGGTTGATTTAGATGTAATACTGTTATAATTCACCAGATAAAACAAATATTTGTATATTAAATGTTATTTTTATACTGTCATAATTTCATCCGATATATATATATCTATATACAAAAAAAACCCATCAAAAGTATTTGTGATGGTTAAATATAAAAATAATGACACAAAGAGTACTTCCCTAGTTAGAGGTTCATCATTGGATTTGTTAACAGTGTGCACTGTTTATGTTGTGAAACACCTATATTGCTCCTATGCTTCACAGCAGAAACACATTCCCTGATGAACCTTTAAAGAGCTGATCGTACTAGGTAAGTACTATTTGAATCATTTATTTTATAATATATAACAAAATCTTTACCGCGACACAATATATATAGCAGATGGCACGCCCCTATTCTCATTCGAAAGAAATTTTGATAAAGCATGCATATCTAAACTAAAAGAAAATTCTGCTGTATTTGAAATAGGATGTTCCAATAGAAGTGCAATATCGACAGAGGAAATGAAGGTTCATATTCTGGATTGGTTTTTTTTTAATGCTTGGTATCAAACCGGAAGTGATCTTTGTCCATTACTCATACTTTTCTTTATCGAATAAATACATGTGTTATCTTCACTTCTTTTAGCTCAAAAAAGGCAAATTAACACGTGACAGTGTAGTTACAGATACACTGCCACTAGGTGCCTGATATGCAATTGAGATACAGATATGTACTTATATAGTCAATCCTTCCCCGCATACAAAGTTGTGGTACAGGTCAGTCTTTAGTAACGGGTCAATTACATTAAACACGAGCTATAAACAGTGTACTTACGGTCACAGTTTTGTCCCCAGTATCCCTCACAGCATCGCGGAAGCTCCACAATCTCCTGACATGTATGCCGGCATCCCCCAAAGTCTATTTCTATGCCCATCATATATATCGGATATGTACAGTCTGATGTTCCTCGGTGTTGGGTAAGTTTGCGCGATCCGGACGGACAGTCCACGTTCGCGTTATTAGAACAAGAAACACATTGCGTTTTGAAGGATAACGAAGACGTTTCATTGCAAAACCTTAAAACGGACTGGAATCCCGAAGTTGTTGGAAGGTAAAGATGTAAAACGTATATCAAAAACAACCCCCGATACCTGTCTAATATCGTTTTGTATATCATTTTGTCTGTTCTTCAACAAAAATTAAGTAAACGATATCCCTTTAACTGCAAAATAGAAACAATTTCTGAAAGTTATATAGTTTAAGTCAATTCAAAATCTACGTCAGAAGATCACTTAATTATCCATCCAGTTCCCCACAGAACATCGATAGTTTCCCCTGTCAAATTACAATTGTCTTCGACGATGTACGGAGAAGCGTGTCATTGAATCAGAATATTTCTGACCTCACTTGCAGTCCGCAGTGTCAGGGGAGTAAGGAGTTAGAGGCTACCAGGACTTCCGACTGTGTAACAGGACCACAGATACTTTCTACCTACTTAACTAATAGCATTAAGATACGAAGTAAACCTCTATACACTTGGGACCGGAAATGGCCCCACCGTCTGAGTACTTTTATCATGTGAAAATCTGGTCATAGTTCAAGCGTTCACGGTGACAGAGATTGTAGTGCGTCAATGTTGTAGGATGGTGGGTCTACAGAAGAACTAATTACATATACATATATAGCTGACTCAATTTCACAATGCCTTATTTAAATATCCATATCGCAAATATAACATAACATCGTGTCTAAAGGAGAAATGGAAAATATCATTTTTGTACTGGTAAATAGGGACACTCCGATTATCACTCCGATTATGTGATATGAATACGTTAAAATCGTGTGTGTGTGTTATTCGATATTCAAAATTAAACAGAAAAAAACAACCTAAATAGATGCCAGTGCCTAAGCAAGGAGCCAGGACTATGTACAAAGAAGTTGAACGAAATCTCATCTTTGATAATTATCGAGCATAGGGTCCCAATGGGTCTAGAAACCGTGCTTGTGCCCAACTTTTGAAAGGTTGCACGTGCACGGGGTGCCCAGGGGATATTCTTAGCGAGTTTAATTAAGGTTAAAATAGGCATTCATCCCGAGCGAGGACTATGAACATAGAATTTGAGCGAAATCTCAATTTTGACAATTATCAAGAAAAGGGTCCCAGGGGTGTAGAAACCGTGTCGGTGCCCACGTTTTGAAAAGTGGTATGTACAGGGGGTGACACAGAGAGTATTATGAATGTAGTTAGTTAAGTTGAAATAAGCATTCACCCCGAGGTAGAACCATGAACATAGAACGAAACTCAGTTGGAAATGACAAACTGACATTTCAGGAGTAAGGTACAGTTTACTTGTTCAGATTATAATTTTAAAATTACATGTGGTATATAGTTATGTTTTTGCTCACATTTTTAACACATATGCTATCCCAATGGTCTCAGGGACTAGCTCTTGGCCATGGGGATTTAGAACCGCGTCCTGAAATTGAAATGGTAGAGATCCTAACCATATACAGTAGCCATACATGACCATGACTCTATCCTTAAAAGAAACACGCTTTAAAACATTTTTAACGCTTTTTTCTTGTCAATTCTATTCAATTTCAAGGCCCTTTTGAATATACAAAAATGTATATTTGACAAAGGAAAACATAAACCTCTCTGTTTATTGTCGATACATATATTTCCATTATTAAATCCATATATTCATTTTGGTTGCTGTTGCAGACAAGGAGAATAGTATATGTATTATGTTTCGGTTAGCTTATTAAACATAATATATATGATATTAGTAAAAAGATAACAAACGAAATATCTTCAAAATTCCAAATGTGTTTGATGAAGAACAACTTTAATAGTGAAAAAAACTACATGAGACTTATGGGACATTCTTATTTTTGGAGAGATTCCACATTTTATCCGGCGTCTACTCCTCAAATCCGTCGCAGCGACCATTTATAAATCCTTATATTTTCCCGCTCGATACAAACGCCCAGACGACCTGACGTCTTTCTAATCAAATTTACGGCGGCCATTTTAGAAAAGTGATATTCTTCCACATGAGAATTTACCATTTAAGGGTTGGTTGTCATATTTTTGACATGCATTGGCTTACCTACATATTGAATGGTGCGCGTTAGCGCACCATGTTAAATATGTAGGTAAGCCCATGTACTGTATATAACACACCAATGCATATCAAAAATATGACAACCAATCCTTAAATTTACATTTTATGTTGATCAACTTACAGTTCATGCAGAAATAAAGACATACGATTAGTCTGAACAATGTATGTTATACGGAAATAGCATACAATGGGCCCAGTAGAAACATACAGGCCCTGTGCAGCGGAAATGTAAATATTCCATTTTGCTGTCCGGGTCAGATAGTTTGTTGATTAGTTACACCTATAACCTACAAAATGGCGTCGCCAAAAGGTGGGAAACTTTGAACAATCGACGATACTGACTGAATATACCAGTTATTTGTGATAATTAGGACGGTTTGGGATCAATAAAATAGCCCACTTATTGATATATGTGAGGAATGTGTTGTGTTGTACCAGTTTTTGTTGTTAGCTCATCAAAACGTTGGGCTACACAACGGCTCGGAGAATTCCACTGCTTGATATAGCGCACAGGTGCGCTCTGGCCCAATTCCGGACGTCTATCTTGTCAAAATGTCTTAAATTTAGTGTGAGGGCCAGAGGAAACTCGGCTTAAACTTCAGCCACGACACGTGGCCCTCAGGTCATTTGTTTGACAAAAAATAAATAGTTAATGTGACCTTACACTGCATTGTATGCATGTAATGTTACAAATGCCTGAAATACACATATGCTACACGGATAGGGGTCACAGCACAATACACTACATGTGTGCTGTGGCCAGTATCAGCAAATGTGTAGTGATGTAATTGAGGTTTTCCACATCCGTTAAATACACAACAGGGAGAATTTTCAGATGTTTTGCTTTGATTCGTTAGAGGTACTGTGTAAAACTTGTCTTTAAAATTTGACTGACAGTTTCACCATCAGGTGTATCCATAATCTATCTGTATGTTTACATAAATATATTCACAGTGGATCAATGTACATCCATGTACTAATGTATAATACACTTTGTCTGTGTATACCACATATTCCCACAAAGGGCTGTATACATGGACACTGTCTGTTTTGGGGAGTTCTCACTTTCGTTTCCATATCTACGTCATCCTTGACTGACCTGGGCCATTTTCGTGTAAACGGCTGAACCGATCGCACTACAGTTGTTCGTTTATTAAATAAGGTCGGACCTAGTAATATGATGCTGCTTTCGGGCGAGCCTTGACAAAGCCTTGCAAGGCCTGCATAAACATTTGCAGATCCACCAGGATGTATAGGAGGTAAAGGTGGTGTAGGAAGTAAAGGTGGTGTAGGAGAGTATAGATGGTATAGCAAGTAAAGGTGATGTAGGAAGGTATAGGTGGTATAGTAAGTAAAGGTGATGTAGAGGTGGTACAGGATGTATAGCATGTAAAGGTGGTGTAGGAGAGTATAGGATGTATAGCATGTAAAGGTGGTGTAGGAGAGTATAGGTGGTATAGTAAGTAAAGGTGATGTAGGGAGGTATAAGATGTATAGCAAGTAAAGGTGGTGTAGGAAGATATAGGTGGTATAGCAAGTAAAGGTTATGTAGGGAGGTATAGGATGTATAGCAAGTCAAGGTGGTGTAGGAAGGTATAGGTGGTATAGTAAGTACACTGTATAGGATGTATAGCATGTAAAGGTGGTGTAGGAGAGTATAGGTGGTATAGTAAGTAAAGGTGATGTAGGGAGGGATAAGATGTATAGCAAGTAAAGGTGGTGTAGGAAGGTATAGGTGGTATAGCAAGTAAAGGGGATGTAGAGGTGGTACAGGATGTATAGCAAGTAAAGGTGGTGTAGGAAGTAAAGGTGATGTAGGAGACTATAGGTGGTATAGTAAGTAAAGGTGATGTAGGGAGGTATAAGATGTATAGCAAGTAAAGGTGGTGTAGGAAGGTATAGGTGGTATAGCAAGTAAAGGTGATGTAGAGGTGGAACAGGATGTATAGCAAGTAAAGGTGGTGTAGAAGAGGATGGGCGGCGTAGCAAGTAAATGTGGTGTAGGAGACTATAGGTGGTAAAGCAAGTAAAGGTGATGTAGAGGTGGTACAGGATGGATAGCAAGTAAAGGTGGTGTAGAAGAGTATAGGTGGTATAGCAAGTAAATGTGGTGTAGGAGACTATAGGTGGTATAGCAAGTAAAGGTGATGTAGAGGTGGTACAGGATGTATAGCATGTAAAGGTGGTGTAGGAAGTAAAGGTGATGTAGGAAGTAAAGGTGTTGTAGGAGACTATAGGTGGTATAGTAAGTAAAGGTGATGTAGGGAGGTATAGGATGTATAGCATGTAAAGGTGGTGTAGGAGAGTATAGGCGGTATAGCAAGTAAAGGTGATGTGGAGGTGGTACAGGATGTATAGCAAGTAAAGGTGGTGTAGGAGAGTATAGGCGGTATAGCAAGTAAAAGTGATGTAGAGGTGGTACAGGATGCATAGCAAGTAAAGGTGGTGTAGGAGAGTATAGGCGGTATAGCAAGTAATCGTGATGTAGGGAGGTATAGGATGTATAGCAAGTAAAGGTGATGTAGGGAGGTATAGGATGTATAGCATGTAAAGGTGGTGTAGGAAGTAAAGGTGATGTAGGAAGTAAAGGTGTTGTAGGAGACTATAGGTGGTATAGTAAGTAAAGGTGATGTAGAGGTGGTACAGGATGTATAGCATGTAAAAGTGGTGTAGGAGAGTATAGGCGGTATAGTAAGTAATCGTGATGTAGGGAGGTATAGGATGTATAGCAAGTAAAGGTGATGTAGGGAGGTATAGGATGTATAGCAAGTAAAGGTGGTGTAGGAGAGTATATATGTTATAGAAAGTAAAGGTGGTATAGGAAGTAAAGGTGATGTAGGAGAGTATAGGATGTATGGGAAGTAAAGGTAATGTAGGAGAGTAGAACGTTTGAACTCTCTGTACTTTCGTGGAACATTGGCAAAGGCCTGGTTAACAAGCTTAGTGATAGAGAATTTTTGTCCATTATCCAAAAGTATGACATTGTATGTTTATGCGAATGCTGGATAACTGTCAACGATGAAATTGAGCTTGACGGGTATTGTAAGCATGTATTTCCTAGGAAAACTGGGATAGGTGGCGGAATAGTTATCTTCTTCAAGAACTGTTTTAAAGACAAGATATCTGTTGTTGAAAATATGTATGATAGTATAATATGGTTAAAATTGGAAAATAGCTCCAGAGATTCTGATACATATATTGTTTTCTGTTATTTTCCTCCAGAAAATAGTGTTTTTTATGAAAACAATTTAGATGAAATAGATTTATTCCAGTCGTTGCAAGATTCAATTATAAAATATAAATCAAATGGAAAAGTGTACATAACAGGAGACCTCAATGCTAGAACTGGTACCAGATCTGACACGATAATTAA